CTTGATAGTTTTTTTTTTTTTCAAAAAAAATATATTTATATTTTTTACATTAAGGTGTTTTAACATGGTTATTTAACTACGGCGAATAATTTTGTATGAAAAAATTAAGTCGAAAAAAATTGCTGAAAACATTTTTTAATGCCGTTCGTTTCATCGAAGCGGTCTCATCGATACCCTAGAGTTCCAGGAAATCATAAGAACGCTCTCACAGGGTGGGACAAAAATTAATAAAATCGGAACGCTTCGATCGTTGAAATCCGATGATCGGTCACCGTATAGACGACCCACACTGAACTGTCCCACCAAACTCAATGACAGGGGGGCGCTACCATCGTTCAACTATATGGTTTCCAACATGGCAAAAATCGGAACCAGCGATCCGGTATTGACGGTGGCGCCCCGCTGTCAACGTCACGGATAGGACAGTTCAGTATATTGGAAGTATAACTCTCGGAGCGAGCGCGCACTCACCCCTGCGAGCGGATCTGGTGGCGCAGCAGCGCCAGGTCCAGGCGGTGCGGGCGCAGCTGCGGCTCGGGGCGCAGGCAGCGCACCAGGCGCGGCGCCGCCGGCAGCCGCCGCACCAGCGCGCCCACCAGCGCCCGCTGCCGGCAGCCCAGCGCCGCCGGCCGCCGCGGCGACCCGCACGCCCCGCCTGCACGCGCCGCGGATCGGAAACGATCGACGGACGACATCAAATAATTACACTATTACAGTGCATAGTGATTGAGTTGATATGACGTGTGCCACTCATTTATTACGTGAGACAATTTAAGGCTTGGTATTTCTTCTAAAGTAGGTATTTCGCGCTGTCAAAATCTGCGCGCGCAATTCTTCGCCGAAAACAGCGCGTCAAAGAGCTCCCGCCACAATTTCCAGCTACACAGTATAGAAATACGCAGTTGGTTAAGTTAGGTCGACTTCCTTCCCTTCAAGCGTCACACGAACAATTCGAAAGGGTAATTTGACGGTGTTTGGGGAATTCTAGGAATAAATACAGAGTCTCCTCATTGAGATTGAGACATTTCAATTTGAGATTTCACTTGACATTGAACAAAATCTGAAATGGATTTTTCAAACACTTGTAAAAATAAAAAGTAATTAAATCAAAGGCACTAAGTAGTATTGATATCAACTTCGAAGAAAATGACTGCCAAAATTACTTTCTACCCGTTCCACACGTCTTTCATGAATTATATTAAGGTATTGTTAAACTAAATTTCAAGTAGATTGAACCAAGGAATCACTTTGTCCCATACAAACTTTGCCCCCTTTTTTCACCCCCTTCATTTCATGACCCCATTTCGGAAAATCTTTTCTTATGAGATGCCTACGTCATAAAAAGAACACACCTTCCAACTTTCAGGTCTCTACGATATCCGTCAGTCATTTAGGACAAAGCATTTTTATTAGTTGTTCAAAACTCTATCGTTCCAGGTATGTCATTGACAGGAGGGCGCTACTATCTTAATGGGTTATTCATTAGTCCACTTGACATTTCAGAATCGTTTGACTTTAGATACCTAAGCGATTTGATATTCGGAGTCTTTTAATGAAATCAAGTTTTTGTATGAAAAATCTAAACCGCTTAAGTTAGACGCTTGAAATTTGGCATGCAGGTACCTTAGTAAACTTAAAGCTTAGTTACAATAGGATATTGCAAAATTCCCACGGGAACGGGAGTTAGCGGGAAAAAACATTTGTATGAAAAAATCTGAACCGCGTAAGATAGATGAAGGGGGTAAAACAAGATCCACGCGTACGAAGTCGCGGGCGGCCGCTAGTTATAAATAAACTAGCTTTCCGCACGCCGCTTCGCCTTCGTGGAATTTTTTGGTTTTTATATAACCTATTACACTCAGATATAATGTGGCTTTCTATTGGTGAAAGATTTTTTAAAATCAGTTCAGTAGATCCCGAGATTACCCCTTACAATTTAACAAATATACAAACACACAAACTTTACCTCTTTATAATATAGATTATAGATAGGTAATTTGAAACCCTATTTTGTTTTATTCTTTTTTTTATTTTAAATATTTCACGATCCAAACTAATATTTACTGTATAGCCTGACCAGGAACATAAAAACCCTGGCATAGAGGCGCCACAATTGCATTTGATAGTGCAACACTGAGTACAGTCGTACCTGTGTTAACTTAATAGGCTAACTTTATGTATCAGGATTACGGGCTAATTTGATATTTTCATAGTTAACGAAAAAATATTATTATAGGTAACCTGGTTTAAATAAATTAAATGAAACCATCAATCGAGCTAGTAGGATTTAGTTTATTATTCATCAATCATCAAATTCAGAACTTGAATATTCAACTACAATGTATGCTCATGAACGCATCAAACTCGGTACTTCTTTTACAATTCCATAAAATTCAACACTTAGAAAGTGACAAAAAACTTTAAAATAGGTAGTTGAAACAAACCACAGCTAATTTTCATAGTGGACTGTACTATACGATAAACATGTCAGTCAATTTGACAACCTTTGTTGGAAACATTATTCAATGAAAATATTGTCCGAACCCTTAGTATTTCTCTTCGACAAATACTTTAACACATTGTGAACCACTTTTCTTTCACGACTTTAAAAAGATTTTAGCAATTTAATTCATAAAATCAATTGCACACATTTAAAATAAAGTTTGTTTACACTTTGACAGCAATAGACTGACATGCAAGGTGACAAGTCAATGAAGTTTTCAGTTACTGTTGCCATTAAAAGAAATTAGTACCATTAGTTTTCCGCAACATGGCGAGGGTTTTTATGTTCCTGGTCGGGCTATAAGTAAATGCTAAATAGTAAATATTAGTTTGGATTGTGAAATATCCTACTAATATTATAAAGGCGAAAGTTTGGATGTCTGGATGTCATGATGTCTGGATGTTTGTTACTCTTTCACGCAAAAACTACTGAACGGATTTTGTTGAAACTTTACAGTATTATTGTTTATAACCCAGATTAACATTATGACGATATGTGGCAAATTTTTAATAAATAAATAAGACGTGTCTAAAAGCGCCATCTATCGTCATTGGTTAAAATCTACAGCACTGGACAAACTACGGTATGACGTTCGTAAATATTCATTCGGGGGAAACCGTGAAACGCCATCTATCAACATGGGTAAAATGAGGTAAAACATCATATCTAACGGGGGTAAAACGAGGTCCACGCGAACGAAGTCGCGGGCGGCCGCTAGTTTATAACACGCGTCCGTCCTCCGTAAGCGCCACCGCGCGACTGATTGAGATTGTCCAAGCCGTCATGGGCGATTTTTTCCACATTTTTTAACATAGTAACTAAATAAGACGCAATATAAAAATTTCATCCGTTAAAAGCCCTCAAGTTATTTCTGAACTTTAGTTTAGTAAAAGATTCAGAATCTCAAATCGCTTATTTTAAAAATAAAACCATAATTAGAAAACGAATAGAGGTAACTTTGGGAATTTATTCTATCGAGTCAACTTCATCAAATCGTGTTTCCATCCGTTAATAGCCCTAGAAAATATCCTCAACTATGCCCAAAAAAAATCTTAGCCTTTTATTTTACTGTTTAGTACCTCAAAAATGAAAAATGAAAACCTCATTTTCGCCATTTTCTCTGTTACCCGGCCTTAAATGAAACAGCAAATCGAACGCACAGCGTTAAATGGAAATCTGTGATTGGTTCGTGTGTCACCCTGTGCGTCCACGCGCACTGTGAGACCTCATAGTAATGTTTGTGAATATGGGAGTAAGGCTAATACTTGTGCGGATCCACGGAGCGGGTACCATGATTTCAAGATTGGCCGGTTGGCCAGTGTTTTCCTGTAAACTTTATAGGATCACCTGTGCACCTTGTTGTCTTGGGTGGACGTTCTACACTGCACTTTCCGGTACATGGCCTCAATTACAGAACGTTGCACCCTAAAGGCCGGTGCTGTAGCTTCAGGTGCCAAATGCTACGCTTTGCAGAAAACTCTACGCGGCTGATGCCCGCGGTCAAATGCCTACAGGTAGATAAGAAAAACGCTCCAAATCATACGACTCCTTCTGGCACAGGTGCCATTGCACTTACAAAAAAGAGTCCACCTCAAATCTCATTAATTGTTTTTGTTAACGAAATAAACATTTTTCATTTTCACTTTATTATTGTGATATGAACATTTCAACCAAAGGACCCAAAACGGATAAAATACGCCCTTTATCAAACAAAAGAACATCCAAGAATGTTACCTGGGAATATGTGTGCGGCGTACTCGTAGTCTGTGGCGAATGCGGTGAACTGTGGTTCATGTACGATGTGTTGTAACTCGAAACTGGCTGATCCATCTGCCGACCGAAATAAAACAATTCAACACTTCACTCTAATAGACAAACAGAATATGAAGCAATAAAAACACCGAGAAAAAATGCAGAAAAACCTGAAATAAATCAACATGACGTCACTAAATCTACACTGTATAAAAATGACACTCGAAGCGTAATAAAATTCGTAGGAAGCAGGCGGGTAACTTAAATTATATTCACATGACATTTATAAACGATACATCATTTTCTTAGTAAAATAAGTGCATTTGAACGATTGGTACATTTTTAAAACATGCTCCAAAATATAAATCTGTGTACAAACTACGTTATGGACTTGTCATGCGATAGATTGTGGAAGGTATGCTGTGGTACATTCTGTCTGTGCACAGTTTTACTACAGACATGTTTTCTATGATATAACAAAATAATACTAATATTTCCTACTTTAACCGAACTATCGAATCAGTATGGGTATTTCTATAACTAAGAATTTGTACTAAATAACTATGTACGTTGTGCAAGCAAATAATTAAAAAGTACATGTTAAGGAACTATACGCATTAAATTAAAGCTTTACAAAGAAATGTATACTATTGATATCATTTTTGTTTAAAAGATACATAGTACAATGATTACAATAGTACCATATCATACTGATGCAGGAAATGAACAACTTTTCTTTGTCTATGGTAGTCGAAAAATAATTCATGTTCATTGCCTCAAAAGTATGTCAAATAAATGAGAAATGTCAATGTGTGTGTGTCAATCCTCACATCGCTTCGTACAATAAGCAATGAAAGTCATAACACGGTAATGTTTGTAAAATAAGTATAATAAAACTGAGAAAATATTATAGAGTGTATGACGAAGCCAAAATGAAATCATCACATTCATTATACAAGTCTAGGAAGATAAACATTGAAACTTGGACAGCTAAAGAAAAGTAATTATGTCAAATATTGCCAACATACCATTCAATAGCATACACCTCTATATTCTTTTCAGTGAGTGAATTATCACCATATTAGAAATGCTAATAAAACTTAAATCAATTATTCCTCTCAAAAGTGTATAACGATTTTGAAATTTGGAAAGGTATCTGTCTCTCTCTTACCCTTAGATATTTCTAAAAGAGAGGGAGACGGATATCGCTGACAAAGTACTTTACAGACTGATTAGAAGTGTTGTGTTTGCATTTCTAACAGGTAATGTAAGGTACGGTAACGCGATCCGTTGAAATGTCATTTGTGTGTCAGTGGTCAGGATTATTTCACTGTTTTGTACCAATAATTAATCACTGAACCAGTGACCACGTTTCTGAGGCACTATTTCTCATAAAAATCTACCATATCACGCACGTAAAATCTTAAAAAACCTCAGAGCTCATATTTTTAGCGTGCCAATGAGTGCTAACAAACTGTCAAATAGTTGCAAAAAACGGTTCTGTTAGACGTGACGGCGACGGCATCGCATGTCTTTTTATCACACAGCGTTGACATCTCTCGCTCGCTCAATTCTTTGTTGCTCTAAGCCGCTAGGTATATTAACTTTATGAACTATCAGCGCCAACGATGAAAACCAAATTGAGTTCTATGAAAGACCCATTCCAACGCATCGCGCACCAAATTGTCAATGTTTTATGTATGTTAGTGTAGTGTGGGGGTGTCGTACATTCTCCGCGACTTGGACGTGCGCGGTCCAGCCGGACTCGACCAGCGTCTGCACCAGCTGCGCCCAGTCCTTGGCCAACATCACTCACGTTACACGTACGTACAACAAACGCCGTGTACAAACTGTCTCTCATTCATTCTCATTAGTTTTTCTACACTACGGTTTTTTCCCGCAAGCGGTAACCCGCCAAACCGCGAGACTGCCCGAAACGTATACACGGAAAAAAGCCGCAATGCGGAGATTCCTTTTGGCGCATTAGGGCTAATTCTCATTAAGGCTACTTCTCAATTTGGCTACCTCAGATTAGATTTACTTGGTTATACTCGTAAAATCACGAGGTTAAAAACCGCGGCGTTTTAGCCGTAGTGCGGTCTCGGCCTAAGTTTAGTTTTTTTTAAATTAGTTTTCTGCGTCTTTCATGCTAAAGAATCTTGCTTTTTCGCCAAGAGGCCGATGTGTTACTTTTTCATTCTTTACAAACTTATTTTAGTTTCTAGTGGGCACGATTTACAATAGAACATAAAAAGCGTCATCTGGTTATGCAGGGTTTTATACATGATCAAACAAGGGTTGGTTCTACTACTCAAATAGTTTGCTTTTGTCTATTTCTGTTGCATTCTATGTTCTTTTTTACAACAACATAATTTGACGTGATTAATATTATTATATTAATCATGTAACAGCTATTGATGAGTGGTTAGAATTTATAAGAAGAGACAGTTTGTACATAATTATGATTAACTCTATCACAAGACCACATGAATATCGATTATGTATGTACATAGAACTACTTTCTATTTACTTCCCAACATTGCAACAGGAATCATCCTGAACTCTTACATACAATTCGATCTCGTATGGTCTCTCAGGTTTTTGTATATTTTATAATTTGCTGTTTCGACAACATGTTAAGGAAATGCGACTGAAATTTGAATTAGGTATGTGATTGAAGAAGGTTTCTAAAACAAATATGCTAATAGTGAAGTGATGTTCAGTCACAGTTTCTTAATATTACAATATCGATAATCTATAATCATCTGATTCTATTGTGCTAGTATTTAATATGCTGTGCGGCGATCTTTAATAAACTGTGCACTGTCAGTTTATTTCCAGTTTGCGAGTGCCAATATTCAGCTAATCTTTCATCCCGGTAAGACTTTTAGTAAGTTTGTACTGACTTAAATATACATCGATATCCAGACGTATAAGTACATCCGAATGTAGAAGCATTTGGTTAGCATCTAAATATTTATGACTGTATATTACTTACAACTCCCTGCTATTCCATTGAAGCATAGAAATATTATAAACATTTTACATAAAAGGGTATTTCATGTGAACAATAAATATTAATTGCACCATAATTTTACTTAAGCGAACTGACTCAGATGTGCCCAAAGCATTCTTCAATACGCCATTAATTCTTATTTATTGATAACTGTTGGTCAGTTTCATAAGAACGATACATATTTTACGTTTACCCAATAAAGCACAGCATCCAACTGACGTGTGTGTATTTAGTGAGAGAAACTCACGTCAGAAATAATTAATTTATTTTATGGAAGCATGTTTATCAAATTATTATTGGTTGCAATTGTAGACATTATTTTTGGTTTCAGATCATTTTACTGTGCATATTCTCAAGCGACAGGACTGCGGGTATTTCTGTGGCGCAAACTCTACAACATGTACTCTATTTTTTAATTCGAGTTTAAAATCCAATGTTTGAACCATAGATTACGGCCTTAAATCTATACAAATCATGAATATACTTAAGATAATACTCAAGACTCTACTGTTCTACTTTACACATCAACGTGTTTATCTCATTTGAAATACACCTTCAGCATGTTATAAAATTACATAGATAAAGTTTGAATGGACTCGAATTAAAAATAAAGCCTAGTTAGTAGTCTACAAAGTCTTTTGTTCAGTAACTGCCAATTCAATATGTCAGTTAAAAAAAACATCGACAATACTTACCATTGTGATTTGTTCGAAGGGCTGTAGCAGAACTTGGTGCAGGTTGTAGTCGGCCGCCGACGGAGACTCCGCGGGGCTTCCCGGACTGTGCACCATCTTGAACCATAAACGTAAAGCTTGACAAATTATGAGAAATTGGCATGGCAAATACGTGGCAAAAATCGGAACCAGCGATCCGGTATTGACGGTGGCGCCCCCTGTCAATGTCACCGATGGGACAATTCGCTGTAGTGGGTCTATAACGAGAATTAACGGGACTAATCGCACCTCTTTTTCCCACTCCTACAACTGCTGTCTAGCCAGGATCTACAGTTTGCCCTCCAATTAAGCTAGTAGCTAAGTAGCTTAGTGTCTTGGAATCCACAATGAATTTAATCAGAAGAATAGAGGTGCAGATCGAAATAGAATAAAGAAAACGGTACTTGTGAAACTGTTATAAATAAATGGAGGCTTTCCTAGAAAAGTGTGTTTCATTTACAAGGATACTAGGTCACTCGTGTTGTAGTACTCTATTAAATGTTTTAATCCAGATGCGATTTTTGTAACAAGATCGAAAGTGTCTAGTTATAATATTTTTTGCGTGCTAAGTCTTCCATAACATCTTGGCACTTTTCTTCTGACGGAAAACAATTAGAATCATATCTGACGTATAAATATTCAAAGCGGATTAAACGAGTTACGGCAATTTTTTTGTCCCTCTGACGTAAATTTAACGTTTTCTATTTATATTGTATACAAATTACGAACAGTGACGGAACATCTTTCCACTGACACGTATCCAAGTGATTTGAATAATTAATATGTAACTTCCCAAGCTATTAAAAAGTAGTTATGTTGAAATGAAACTTTTTTATATTTAAATCGACACCAACTTTTTTTAATGTAACTTTCCAGTTCGATTAATTTCGTTTAAAGGTAAGCGTAGGTCAGTTCACAATCTATGACACCATAGTTAAGTGTTGTGACCTTTTTGACATTACAATACATACGATAGAAGATGAATTATTCACTTACCGTCGGTGAGGGTATGTTTATATTCGATGTCGATGAATATTGCGAGGGCGGACTACAATGTGATTGGTACCCTGACGTTATCCACCCTTGGTCCAATGGAGACATATTCTGTAACCAGCCAAAACGTTCACCGTCAACGCAGATTAAATTAAACTTTATTGCAAAGAGTTTAGGTAAAAAACAGTGTGACTAAGTAAGAAGTCAATTTTAAAGCACTAATGCACGATTACAATGTTTTTTTAAATGTTAGTTCAAGGTTTTGGTCACACTATTTTAAGATTGAGGCAAAGCTTGACATGCTGTAATAGAAATAATGTAAAATGAACGCTGTTAACTGCGAAGCATTTGTATTTAAATGAATAATGAAAATAAGTAGATTACAATTTAATTTTAACAAATACATTTGGCAATAGTTATAAAATTTGAGCATTACGAATCTATGTACACAAAAAGCAACGAAAAAAATTTAACTGCAATTTTTATTAAGTTTAAAATGGTTTTTATATGGTGCCAAGGCACGGATACCGGTTAATTTACTATGTTATCTTAACCGGAATACAGTTTTTAAGTCAATTTTTATAATTTGACAAATATTGTGACAAATTCCATTCTAGGGATTTTTAAAATTTTTGATTCAATTTAGAGAAATATTAACCGGTTTCGAGCTTTGCTTGGCACTTAAATATTTATTTTAATATTACACAGTTTACAAAATAAATATTAATGCATAGTAATGCTAAGTTTAAGCACAATTTCCTACCTGATAGTAAAAGCAGAACCTGTTCCAACATTGAAATAATAACCAACCCCAGAACAATAAAATAAGCACTAATAAAGAGAAGAGTTAAAAAATAACCTAAAATAACATCAAAAGATTCGATACATAATTATGATCAAGATAAATTATACACCAGAGTGTAATTTAAATAAATAAATGGACTGGAAAAGTACACAAAACAAATTCAACTGGAATAGTAATAAGTTAAAAACCTCCATACACAATGCGTAGTACATTAATTTACTATTTAGATTGTTCTGTGATAAAATTATGGTATGACATAAGCAAAAATTGCTTTGAATAATTTGATAGTGCTGTTAGATTAAAGCGAATAACTGTTAATACATGCAGATAGTATCAGTACATCGATGGAAGCTTTATAAATTGTTATAATTGTTAAAAATGTGTGTGAGCATCGAGGATATTAGTTATATCCTCAAGGGTGCGTGTCACCGACGCGCAAAGCACTCAAAAGCAAACGCCTGGAGAAAACGTATGAACCGGAAAATTTAAAAGGAGGTTAAAAAAGAAAACGAACCTTATTATGATGAAGATAATTATTTGTGTTTGGTACAGATAAGTGATTCTGAAATAAACAAAAAATGATATTGTGTAGAAAGCAAATAAACACAAACAAAACAAAACAACAACATAAATGTTAACATCCCTATCAGATAGTAATTTAGCTGACACGAGTTACATGTTCCAAGCTTTGGTTAGATCTAGTGTCTACACACACTACAATACTACACGTTGAACTTTTAATGGTTGGTTTCAGATATTGATAGCACGACCAAATGTGCATAAAGTATAACACTGTAGCTTCTTATGTAGTGGTGATAGGTGTGCAATTTTACAACAAAATTATAGTAAGCTCAACTAATATCGATACTTTGACAGTACATCAGACTATACATTTTGTTCCAAAATAGTACTTACTTAGTAGAACTACATAAGATATAAGGTTACATGGCTCGTTTTGAGGGTAAATGGTTTAGCAGTGTTAAATCAACCATTAAAATTTCATGGTACAATTTAACGTACACATTTGACATTGATTACTATTGTCTTTACATAGCCGAATTCGACTCTTAATTTGCCTAAAAGCATTCATAGGAGCGTCTATAAAACAGGGTAGGAATAATTTTCATTCAGCGTCCAATCGTTTGCATTATACATTGCGACGTCCGTTATCAGCAAGGAACCGACGCGCCATATACGAAAAACAATGCTATGATTAATATCGATTGAATTCCTGAATATATAACTTTTTTTTTTTTTTTCGAATTAATAATTATATTCGAATTAATAAGAATACTCTTCAATATACACATAATTGATTGAGTATTTGAAAATGTAAAGTGGGATTAAACATACTATCAACAGTATAAACACGATATAAAACTTTTTTTTTAATGAAATACATATGATTGGGTTGACAGTTGAGACCGCCGAACCATAATTGACATAATCAGTTCGTCGATTCTTTGATTTGATGATGTTGTTTGATAATTCTGATATAGTTAAAAATATTTACTTTTGAATTGAATAAATGAATCAAATTATTAGTAGGAAAGGAAAAAACAACCCTCATTTCTATGGGACATCTTTCTAGTATAAAATATAATAAAAAACTTGTGGAGCTTAGTATTCTTTAGGAGTTACACATTTCATGATTGAAACAACAGATGATGATGTTACTTATTATAACGATATTTCTTGCACTATTATTTCACTAAACGTAACCTCTTTGGAATACTAACGCAAATAAAAAAAAGTTTCTAATTATTATTTCGTCAGATTTAAAAAAGAACACCAAACCAGCCAGCAACATACCTGTGTGTCGTACAACGACGTGCCGTGGTCGTACGGGTGGTGTAGCGTGTTAGCGAGCGGGACCGTTGCGCCGACCGGCGAGCCCGACGCCGGCGACAGCCCGCCGGTCGCCGGGGACACGCTGCCGCCGCCGGGCGACACCGCGCCGGGTGATGTGGGGCTCTAGAACGTATAGCATGGAGTTAAGACTCTTTTTTAAGTAAACTTTAATGCCCAATGCCGTAGTGTGCGCAGGCTTCCAACTAGGTGGACTCATGATATGGAGAAGGTCGCGGGACTACCTGGATGCGGGCAGCGCAGGACAGGTCGTTTTGGAAATCCTTGAGGAGGCTTTTGTCCAGTGGACGTAATTTGGATAAAACGAACGAATGCCAAATTAAAGCGAACTAAGACATTCTCTACGGGCAAAAAAGAAAAACTTGTTTAACGACGTTTTGAGAGCCCTTAGGTGTAATTCAAACTTGACACTTTTGACAAGCTTTGGGAACTTTGCACGCTTTGTTTTATCTGTAGTTACATAGGCAACAAAACGTGTTGTCTCACCTTGTGTTCTCGTCACTTTACGATTAAGTTTAGGTATTTTTAGTCACTGTTCAGCGAGTTTCAGTGAGTTTGTTGTGCAAAGGCACTATAGTGTAACGTAGAGCGCGTTGTACTCCAAGTGCAAAACAAGACAAATGACGTCAATGCTCTCTGATTTTTCGCACGTGCATTTGGTTAACCTAAAATGTATCAAATGTCACATTGGACCTAAAAAACCTTGGTGTGTGTAGGCTTCAATACTGATAGTCTCTCCTAGACGTGTTAATTAGGCCACTTTACAATTTAAGTTACTGTGTTTTGGGTCACTTGTCGTCAATGCAAAGTCAAAGCGTAACCCGGAGCGCATTGAACTCCACAAGAAGACAAAGTATGATTATTCAAAAAGTATGTCCTATTGCAGTTTTACCAATATAATGCCTTTTGCGTTGCGGTTTGCGCACCAAAAGTACTGAGGAAACGAAAAAACACATACTGCGCCTTTTGAGTAACATTCGCGCAAGTTTTACATATTACAAGTACCAGCATTGCTACAGCGTAAAAATGAATGATCGATGTCATTAATGATTAAAGTTGCTCGACACAGCGCGAGGTGTGGCTTTACTATGCGATATACTCATATACCTACGGTCTGGGCACTTCGATATAGTGACTAAGTCCACTAATTACCCCGATGTAAAAAGTATTTATAATTATCGCCCTCCTACCTAAATAATAGCCTAGTTCAATCCGCTAACTATTAACTAGCCAACTTTTACAAACTTACACAGTAATAATAATATGATTTGGTACAAAGGATTGTAAATCGTAAACAAAGAAAATTTTCATATAACTAAGAATTTGTTCATAAATTAAATTGGAGTATTTAGTGTAAGTAATTTACTACGCGGTAAATAACATTAAGTATTTGTATGTCAACTAATTTACTACGCACTAAAACGTACATAGTTTGTTTTAATAGTTTATTAGATAACAATATTTCAAGCTCATATGCAGGCGCATTATGTAACACAGTAAACCATACATTATGTATGAGTCAATAGTACCTAATTTTGGCGTGAAGTGAGAAATCGTTTTTCAACGGTTTTCGCGCAGCCTGTTTAGATAAAAAAAATCTGTTTAATGCAGTTTTTTCTTGTAAATTTAAAAACAGATCTAACACAATCCAAGTTAAATCTGCATTGCAATTAAACATGACATTTGAAACAGCTAATATATTTTTACATTAACTCACTTTTTGTTGTTCTTGTTCCATTAAAATTCTGTTCATAGTGTGTGACACTATTTTGTACTAATCTCGGCTGGTTGTAGTCGGGCGAGGTCCGGTGCGGCAGGTGGTGCGGCGGGGGGTAGTGGACCGACGTGAGGTTGGGCAGCGAGCCGCACGGCATCTTCTGGTCACCGTATATTAGCCCCTAGCCCCCTGTATTAGAGTCCACAGTAATAACACTCACATATCTCGGCTGGTTGTAGTCGGGCGAGGTCCGGTGCGGCAGTTGGTGCGGCGGAGGGAAGTGAGGTTGGGCAGCGAGCCGCACGGCATCTTCTGGTCACTGCATATTAGCCTCTAGCCCCCTGTGTTAGAGTCCAGAACAGCAACACTCACATATCTCGGCTGGTTGTAGTCGGGCGAGGTCCGGTGCGGCAGGTGGTGCGGCGGAGGGAAGTGGACCGACGTGAGGTTGGGCAGCGAGCCGCACGGCATCTTCTGGTCGCCGCACATCAGCCCCTGGCCCGCCCCTAGCCCGCCGCCGCCGCCCCCGCCATCCCCCCCGCTCTCGTATACACTGGATAAGAGGTTTATGGATTAAAAAGACAAGTCCGAGTCAAAAAAGGGAGAAGATTAAAGATTGGGCTGCTATCAGTCCGGGTTTCACCCGGGTCTTAGCTTAGAATTAATGGTTATTTTTAAACATTGTTGTGTCTCTCAAGAGAGCAGACTTTCTATCAAAGGATAAATTTGCAGAATCTTTAGTGAAACCGTTTGTATGTGGATGAAATCTGTTTGTTACATTGATACATAGAACAAATAAAAATTCCGTGGTTTACAAGTCTAGCCATTGCAATTTTAGCTATGGCAACCCTGTTACAGATAAGACTGGTGTTGTTGTGGTGAAGTTTTTGCCGCCATTTTGCAGGACTCGCGCGTGTGTCTTTTTAATAATTACCGTTCACTTCTTGCCCAATTAAAAGTCTATCTATTTTAATTTATTAGTCACAAACAGTTAGCAGTACCTACATAAATGTCGCGATATAATGAATGACATTGAGAATTCTTTAATAGTATAATTGCGGTGAAGTGCGTGTGACAAATTGATCTCAATTATACACGGCGATGTCTGCTTGGGTGTCTTCATGACATTAATAGGTAGTTAACGGAAAGTATATAGGAACGTATGTTTTTACACTACAGAGACTATTGATCGGGTTTCCCTCGAACTATTATGATATCCACGTATTATACTTCATTTGAAATTGACACTTAGGGGCAATTACGAATCGTTAGGCGTGTGTAATGTTTTTATACTGTTTTCATTAAAGGAATAACAAATAACGTTTGTTTATTTAGGATGTACATTTACAGTTTATTTTCAGTAGTTTAATAAGGATTTTTGAGGCTTAAATCAGCCATTTTTTATGGGACGGGACACGCGCGTATGGTGACCGCTTCTTGTGTGTAAAAGGTGCTTTTTGAGTATTCTTCAAAGATTTTTTTACACACATTTGAAATGAATTATTATTGACGGATAGATAATAAACAATCACAGGGGGTTTTATATCGAACTGTTAGACTATAATCTCTTTAAGATAGTGTATTTCGGCAGTTGATAAGGAAATAATAAATTACATATTATTATCATCTGTCTAGGGCTGACGCATAAGCATAATGCAGATGTAGGCAAAGATATATCAATAATGACGTGTTTCGGTTATTAAACTTATAAGCAATGATAGATTATTTGAATGACTTGTCAAATAACATGAATGCTTTATTTCCGTAATCTAGTATCTAATTGACGATCTAAGTAGTATTTGACAAGATATATTTCAAAAAGTCTTATTCCTCAAGAAAAAAAACTAGCATTATCAACGTTCTTTTTTATACATTTTATCCTGTACGACATTCGAGATAATTACATTTTTATGTTCTAGTAGTGCAATAAAATAAAACATTTAAACATACATAGCGTAATTGGGCTATCAACTCACGAAGTTATCATATTACATTAACGATCAGTGTAACGCTAATTAAAGTGTGATGTAATTTTTTTGCAAGACGGCTATGAAGTTCCGCTTATTATTGTCTTCTGAATTCTTTTTTATTCCATTTGTAATTACCTCCTTCTTAATTATTTTCTTGATGACTTTGTACCGGATACCGGGACCGTAAGATACCCTCTGTCACTTAATACTAAGATAAGCTCCATGGCCTTCGGCCAAATCGGGGTTTATTAATTAATTGTTCCAAGCTTATCACAACTTTTATGAATGTGTTCCATGTAGCTTATCTTAGTATTAAGTGACGTTGGGTAGGTATCTTACGGTCCCCTCTCGGTACGGTAGAGAATATCATTTCTCTAGTCACCCTCCTAAGTTTTAGCTGTGTATTTTGTGCAGCTGCTTTGCGTGTAAACATTTTCAATATGAGCAGACGTTGCCTGAACGAAGAAGCTCTTGGCCTGCATCTCACCTGATAGAAAGTGATGACTAGGCCGAAGGTAGACGCGAGCTTCAGCCGGAATCCTCGACCACAGAGAAACTGGCTATCTTTATAAAAGGAAAAATAATGTAACCCACTTACTTATTATTGTTTGGTATCCTGGGTATTTCGCAGGAGGACCTCGGACGGTTGTTGGGGCTCATGCCCAGTGTTGCCAACACATCTAAGTGGATGTCAGCGGCTGAAACAATTGGATGTTTGATAGCATAAACCAATGAGGGCTATCGTTTTTATACTTAACAGTTGGCACCCCTGGCGATTGACAGGATCTTACTCTACAGTGGCCAGGGTTCGAAAATATCCGATATTTATTATAAATATCAAAATATCGGATATTTATGATATATATCCGATATATATCAACTTTGATATATATCAATTTTGTATGAAAGCCATAGTATTATTTTATTGTATTATTCATGAATACTATTGCATATGTGTTACATAAACATGTTTTTAATGTTTTTAAACTTAAAATCAGACAAATAAAGCAAAAACATAAAATATTCTGTTAAATACGGCAAAATCAACTAAAAAAATAAAAATCTTATGTCAAAAAGTACAAATAGAGTAACAAATTTTAAAAGTTGATATATATCATCAAAACCGGCTGGATATATATCGGATATATATCCCTTGATATATATCCTCGAACCCTGACAGTGGCGCCATCTTGATGAGTGCAAATGCGATAGTCCTCCTACCACTTTAGCGCTCACCAGTTGGTGCCACTGTCTTCGCTGCTAGCAAGTGACAGAACCTTACTCTACAGTGGCGCTAACTGGTGAGCGCTAAAACGATAGCCCTCATTACTCAAAATCACTCACAAATTATCTAAAATACCTAACATGACGCAAAAACTCAATTAGCCTTCAATTTCGATTTTATTTGCCATGAAATTGGTAAAATTGTTAATGAGGGCTATCGTTTTAGCGCTCAGTTGACGCCACCGTAGAGTAAGGTCACTGTCATTGCCAGTGGCGTAGACAGTGGCGCCGACTGGTGTGCGCTGAAGCGGTAGGAGGACTATCGCATTTGCACTTACCAGGATGGCGCCTCTGTAGAGTAGGGTCATGTCAATCGCTAATAGTGCCAACCGTTACGTATAAAAACGATAGCTCTCATTGAGTTGAACAAATAACTAGTATCAAAAGCTATGAGAATCTATTCTTGAGTCCGGATCAAGATTTTGGTTCATTTCATATTATTTATGCCATAGTAGTTAGTTAGTCTTACATGCTTATCAAAAATCAAAACTGAAATGAGTGCGTAAACTTATGTTTGACGTCGATAAAATATTGATACTACATCTTTTGATACCAACTTATCATTTCTTTTTAAGATTTATTAGATAATGTTCACACACCCAATTGTTTTTACTAAATAATCTGAAAAAATCCGGATATGTGTGAATCGGACTCGTACGCTGAGAGTTCTGCCATTATCTCTATTTTTATGTCCTTTACTAGCTGTGCCCGCGACTTCGTCCGCGTGGACTAATGACTTTGGGTAGGCACTTTTAATAATTTAGTCTAATTATTTTACAAAGGCCTATGTTCAGCAGTGGACGTCCTATGGCTGAAATGATGATGATGATGATGATGATGATGATTTTACAAATAGCTTTTGCCCGCGACTTCGTCCGTGTAGAAGTCGAAAAAGTTCTCATAGGATTTTTAAATGGTTTTTAACGTTATTATCTAAATGTTTGAATACTATTTGATCGTTTAAACACAGTGAATGATTCAATTACATAAAATTTTAATGATACTTTTCACGGCTTCGCTCTCATGAATGTTAACGACCGTCAAAAGCACGTCGATAGATGGCGGTCACTAATTTAGACTTTGATTTGCTCGTTTAAACACAGTGAATTATTCAATTACATAAAATATCTATAATGACTAAATTTTAAATATTATGAACAGTTCTATAAATGTAATATTTAGTTCCTAATTAGGACTAATGATACGTTTCACGGCTTCGCTCTCATGAATGTTTACGACCGTCAAAAGCACGTCGATAGATGGCGTTTTTAAGGATATTTCTCACCTCTTAACTATTTATTGAAATTTAGTTTGTCACATATCGTCATAAATTGTAGCCTATATATTAGCCTGGGTTATAAATAATAATACTGTAAAGTTTCAACAAAATCCGTTTATTAGTTTTTGCGTGAAAGAGGAACAAACATCCAGACATCCAGACAAAAAGGTTACAGTGAGCCAACCATAAAAGATAGACATATGCTGTAGCGGACTTTTTTGTAGAACTTTTAAAGGGGAAAATCCTATCATACATAATTTATGCGAAACTTTAACCGTTTACGCAGCGTCAGCTCTCAAAAGGAAAAAAATCACTGATTTGAAACATTCTTCATTGGTGCTCCGCTCCTAGTGGTCTTAGCGTGACGATATATAGCCTAAAGCCTTCAGGGATTAACGGACTGTCCAACACAAAAAGAATTTTTCAAATTGGTCCAGTAGTTCCTGAGATTAGCGCGTTCAACCAAATAAACAAACTGTGATTAATAAATTGCGCCACTACAAACGGTACCAACAGATTGCGCTGTTACGATCTTACTATGGCAAACTCCACCGCGCATACAATCCTGCATCGCGGTGACGAAGTTTTTTACCCTGCCCAGTATATATAGACAAACCAAGATTGGGAAAATTAAATGCTCTAACTCCTTATGGTGGTTGACCGTCATGTTCCACAACTTCAGCTTTATAATATTAGTATAGATTTCGCATTCGTATTTTAAGACTACATGAACATTTATCTTACAAAATACATGCATTTGCTTACGCTTTGTAGTTTGTACTTAGTTCAAAGCAGGGTTCGAAAATATCCGATATTTATTATAAATATCAAAATATCGGATATTTATGATATATATCCGATATATATCAACTTTGATATATATCATCTAAATATATAAAAGGAGAAACTGACTGACTGACTGACAGATCAACGCACAGCCTAAACGGCTAAACGTAGGCACTTGAAATTTGGAAGGGACGTAGCTTAGGTACCGTAGAGGTGCACTAAGAAAGGAATTCCCGAAATTCCCACGGGAACGGGAATTAGCGGGAAAAACGGGATTCACGCGTACGAAGTCGCGGGCGGCCGCTAGTTTTGTATGAAAGCCATAGTATTATTTTATTGCATTATTCATGAATACTATTGCATATGTGTTACATAAACATGTTTTTAATGTTTTTAAAACTTAAAATCAGACAAATAAAGCAAAAACATGAAATATCTTTGAAATACGGCCAAATAACCTAAAAAAATAAAAATCTTATGTCAAAAAGTACAAATCCAGTAACAAATTTTAAAAGTTGATATACAGGGTGTTTGGCGCATCGTGTGCCAAAATAATTTGGCGGATAGAATGGGTCATTACCTATATTTTCAGCCCCCATAACACGTTCCATGCCAGGCGGCTACTTTTAAATTAATTTTTTTAGTAATTTCACCAAAATACCCAAATTTCGATTTAAAAAAAAACTACTAGGCATAGCTTCAAAGTAAATTATTTTGTTTTGACGTGCATTGATGTAGGGTTGCATCATCTCTAAATTTACTGGCAAATATCATCTAGGTTTTTTTTAATTCAACTTTGAAGTTTTCCGAAAAGTTAAAAATGGACTGAACATTTATGTTTACATGGCTATAAAAAAATAAATAGAAGAGATAGCGATCTTCGGATTTTATCAAAACTTTTCTAGTCTATCCCCATTCAAATGGTATACTAATCTTGTTTAAATAATAACAACAACTTCACAAATTCCTTAAATTAGTGCATTGACTCTACTCGGACTGATTTGCGAAATTTGTGTTTATAGCCCCTTTTTGTGTGAATAGCACGTTAAATACCTACAGGTAAAAATTATTTATCTTATGCAATGTAAAAACCTTTTCCCTATCGTTTTTAATGTGGATTTCTTGAATTTGAGGACGAAAATAATTATTTTGATCGTTTATTAATTATTACAAATTTAGTTCAAAATGTCCGCCTCGGCAACGTATACACTCACGACATCTTCTTCTAATTTGGACTGTTGTCGTATGCAGCCACATTTCTCTTTTTATTACTACAAAGGCGTTTTTTATTCGTTGTTGTAGTTCTTCTAATGTTTGAATCCGTTACGTACACCAGTTCTTTAGCTCGTCCCCAGACGTAAAAATCTAACGGAATTAGGTCTGGGGAACGTGCAGGCCACTGTATAGGGCCATCTCTTCTAATCCACGAGTAGAAAACGCATTTGTAGTAATAAAAAGAGAACTGTGGCTGCATACGACAATAGTCGAAATTAGAAGAAGATGTCGTGAGTGTATACGTTGCCGAGGCGGTCATTTTGAACAAAATTTGTAATAATTAATAAACGATCAAAATAATTATTTTCGTCTTTAATTTCAAGAAATCCACATTGAAAAACAATAGGGAAAGGTTTTTACATTGCATGAGATAAATATTTTTTACCTGTTAGGTGTTTAATAACGTGCTATTCACACAAAAAGGGGCTATAAACACAAATTTCGCAAATCAGTCCGAGTAGAGTCAATGCACTAATTTAAGGAATTTGTGAAGTTATTGTTATTATTTAAATAAGATTAGCATACCGTTTGAATGGGGATAGACTAGAGAAGTTTTGATAAAATCCGAAGATCGCTATATCTTCTATTTATTTTTTTATAGCCATGTAAACTTAAATGTTCAGTCCATTTTTAACTTTTCGGAAAACTTCAAAGCTGAATTTAAAAAAAACTAGATGATATTTGCCAGTAAATTTAGATTTGATGCAACCCTACATCAATGCACGTCAAAACAAAATATTTACTTTGAAGCTACAGCTAGTAGTTTTTTTTTAAATCGAAATTAAATGATGCGATTTGGGTATTTTGGTGAAATTACTAAAAAAAATAATATAAAAGTAGCCGCCTGGCATGGAACGTGTTATGGGGGCTGAAAATAAAGGAAATGACCCATTCTATCTGCCAAATCATTTTGGCACACGATGCACCAAACACCCTGTATATCATCAAAACCGGCTTGATATATATCGGATATATATCCGATATATATCTTGATATATATCCCTTGATATATATCCTCGAACCCTGGTTCAAAGGTATGTTCTCCCTCAATAAGTGCAAAATTTCGCAACGGTGAAAAATATTTCTGAATTTTAGAACTTTTTTAAATTGCATTAAGAAACGCTACTTATTGCTGGCTTATTGATTATTATCTATCTCTTAGATTCTAAAAATACTTTTTTCTTCTTTGCTGTACCGAATCTTTCATGACACGATTTAAGGCCCATGTATTAAATCTGAGTGTTCTGAAAAATTTTACTATATTACTAAATAAAACTAAAATAATCATTAGCTTGACTGGCATTGAAGACAAGATGTGAACTTTAACATCGAAATTTCGCATTTCCGGTTTTAAAGTGGCACAAGTTGGATCACGAAATTCTATAGTAAAACCCACTGAGCCGATTCGGATAGCTAAAATGTTGCCTACTAGACAGCTTAGTAGGAGAGTAAATAGATTTGAAAGCAATCAAATTCTGTTAAAAGAAGAAATAATGCATTCTCTTTTCATTTGCGCTGAAATATCTATTTACTCGTGCTTTTACATGTCCAAATGTCCAATGTAGACTATTTTTGAATCTCCAAATAACGAACGGAATAAAATTCCTTAGGAATTTTATTTATGCTATTAAAGTACAGGCTATACGGCATAAGCTGTACACTGGCCTCTTATGAAACTGTGATAGGGCTATTTCAGAACAAAAATGTATAGTTCGATTAGCTGTCGACTGTACAACGCACTGAAAAAAATACGTATCACTTATTATTTGAAAGCTGTACTAAAGAGTTAACAAGGCATTGTATTTGTGTTACCGTTCTTTGGTTTGGTGTGGATTAAAAATGTCATTATGCCTTCAAGCCCCGCGAATCGAGATACAATAGATTAATCAATTGTATTATAATGCGGTTATATCCGACGACTAGCTGTGCCCGCGACTTCGTTCGCGTGAAAGCCCGTTTTTGCATCATTTTTCATTGTTGCTCTCCTCCTATTACTTGTATCGTGATGGTATATAGCCTATAACCTTCCTTGATAAATGAGCTTTCTAACACTGAAAGAATTTTTCAGATCGGACCAGTAGTTCCTGAGATTAGCGCGATCAAGTAAACAAACAAACTCTTCAGCTTTATAATATTAGTATACAGGGTGTTAGGTAAATGGGTATATGAACCGACACGAGCCCATGTTAACATGGGCATATAAATGGTATGGTGAAGTCAGAAAATTGATATCATCATTTTAATTTTTTAAATTTTCATACAAAATAAATGTTATAAAATCCGATTTGTATGAAAAATAAAATAATATGGAGATATCAATTTCCTGACTTTATCATACCATTTATATGACCATGTTAACATGGGCTAGTGTCGGCTCATATACCCATTTACCTAACACCCTGTAGATTACTTACTTCTCCGGTGGTTCTGGTGCGGGTGCAAATGTGGATGGGCATGCGAATGGAGCGGGTGGTGGGGCGACAGCGGCTGCGTCACGGTCTGCTGCTCCCCTGCGCACGACTGGTGCAGTGCCGAGTCCGAATTCGTCCGCCGCCAGTTGCTATCAGACGGTGGACTGGAACAAAGATAAAGGTTAGGGTAGGGTATCATCATCATCGCTGCAATTTACGTGTAGATCCTGGCTACACAGGAGTTGAGACGAGAGGTGGAAATAGTCCCGTTCATCATCATCATTTAGGCTGGGTTGCACCATCTTACTTTAATAAAAATCTGTCAAACTCCATACAAAAAACTCGTTACGGTCAAAGTTAGGTGGTGTATCTCAGCCTAAGTCATTCGTTTCCACCGAATATTCATCATAAGGTCATTACATGTAGTTTGTACTGCAGGAAAACGACTATCTCCGACTAGATGCAAATGGAGGATTGGGCCTCTTACTTCCCACGCTAGCCAGACAGCATTCATTGATGATTGATACTATCATCAGGTCATTTAGTTTCTACTGAAGGAACACGACTCTTCAATTTACCAAAGGCAAATAGATTCGATCTACTCTTCACGGGATGATCTTATTCATCCGTCGGAAAAGTACGCATATTTTTCACTAAGTTCGTAAGTTCATACTGAAGACTCTTATTCGGTGTTAGGATTGTTTCTAGTAAACTTTTACTGTTGCAAATATTTTGCCAGTAAATTAAACCTTCTCATTTATGTCAATACTACAGTCAAGCAAAACTTGAGCACACACAGTTGCTATATTTTTAGACATAGCTTAGTTAAAAGGTTAATTGCCATAGATAAATATAAATATGATTCTAGGAAGTACGAGTATTTTTGCCCGCGGCTTCTTACGCGTGGGCGTCACTTATCATAGGACTAATATTATAGCGATAATTATAAGGAACTGCTTATTTTCTTAGAAAATGAAAAATGACATTTTTTTTATTGCTACACTAAAAAATTAGGACAAAAAAATATTAATTCCTTATGAATTAGTGCCTTTTCACACGTCCCGGTTGCCGGCTAACCGGCGCCGGCTACCCGGCGTCAAATGAGCTTTCACACGCTCCGGTTGATCGACTAGAGAGCCGACAAGAGTACAGTCTCGTTCATTTCATACTTTCAAAGATGGACCGTGAACAAATAATTGCAATGTGGCTTTTATATCCTAGACTGCATGATGCATCTCACTTAACATCAGGTGCGGTTTGATCAAATACCTGCCTAGTTATGCATAAAAAAATAAATAAAATAAAATATCGAAGAAGAAAATATCTGTGTCGGAAAGAAATATCAAGAAATTCATGCAATTAATATGAAAAGAGAAGCATTAGGTGCATTCTATACATTATTCCCAGATCTACGAGCACATGAAGACAGGTTTTTCAAGTACAACTACTTTTGATGAATTACATAACCGTTTGAAGAACTCTGCAACGTCAGGATACAAAAATGAGAAACTGCAACTCTCGCAGACTGTACCTGGACGACTGACCGGCCGGCGCGTGTGAAAGCTAGTTGCGTGTTCCATACACCACTGTCAGTTCGGCCGCCGGCTAACCGGTGCCCGGCGACCGGACGTACAGTGGTGGATCCGGCGCGCACCCGGCGACCGCCTGCCGGATTAATTTACGCCGGAACATGTGAAAGCTCCGTACCATGCCCATACACTTCACCACCGGGTACCCGGCGCCGGATAGCCAGCAACCGGAACGTGTGAAAAGGCACTTATTTATCTCTTATTATAAGTTAATTTTTCTACTTATATTTCATAATAATTTACATCTTTCTAGAATTGAAATTGTGTTGACACTACTGAGCTGTCTGCATATTTGAAAATTGATTACCTTAGAAACATTACATTCCACCTATTTATTTTTCCTTGTCTTTATTTTCCTATACATAGAATTAACAATGCGAAATTATCACAATTACCTTTGCAATGGTGACTCACGAGTACAACGTACTAAAGAATTGGTTAGATTATGAAAACTAGCATTTATATTAACTTTCCTTCTACGTCCGCGTAGATTTCTATCTATTATACAAAAACAAGATGTATTATAATGAATATTAATAGGGTTGCTAATTTGCTATTTGGACATCAAAGAAAGTAAGAACACAAAGTACTTATTTATATTTACTACCTACTTTTTAAAAGAAAAACATCAATTTTAACTTGATCGAAAGACATAATTATTGTTTTTATTTGTTAATCGTGCCTACTAGATATGGTTAAACATTAAAACATAGATTTAATCATTACTTTAGATGACTTTGATTGCCACTGTTTAAAATATTAAAGAGTTGTTGTTGGTCTACTAAGGTAATAAACTATTAACTGACAAAGACCATAAAACATTTTTACCGTAATCCGCGAGTCCCATAGAGAAAAAAAAACGCCAACACAGCAAAACCTGCTTTAATTATTGATGTTAAAATTACTGCCTTAGAACCAGTAACAGATTATTAATAACTATAAAAGTTACAAAAACCGAATGACGATTTCCAGTAATAATGTATGCAAACGACATAAATTTAAACCACGCGATTACTACCAAATATTTCCTGTTTGTAAGCAAACGTTTATGAATTAATTTTCTTGGAATATGCAATGAATATGAGTAGTGACGTCACTTTATAGTATTTAGAGTAGGGGATTTTATTCAAGAAGGATACTGTAACATTTAAATTACTTGCTAAAACTGTACTATTACGCATATTATATTCGCGAAACTTAATAACTTACTACATTTTCATATTTTTAATCAGATTCCAAGAAGTGGACATTAATATTCGTGAAAACAGCTTTCTCCACCTGGTCTAGTAATAAATTACATAATACAGGACGAATTTTAAATATTCATAGAGTTAACAATACTGCGCAACTCTAGCAAGAGACTAGTCAAAGTAGAAAAATATAACGAATCTTTAAACTTATCCTTCCTTCATACTTCAAGTATGAACTTTAAGTATAAATAATAACAGTAGGTATTATTATTATGTTTATTTATAGATCGGAAATCCCATGACATGAACTCATTTGATCATGAATCGGTAGTAATTTTTTGCACTGTCAAATTAAGGTGCATGTACATTGTTTTTATGATAATCAACTTCTTAAGAACATACAGGAAAAACTTTTTTGATAATATTAGAGCGCATTGTAGGACTCAAGGCTAACGATGTGGTATTTAATGTAGTTGTAATAAGTACGATATTGCAACAAAGTTTATGTCAGTCCTGTGTAGACAAAATCATTGTCTTCCCGCCATTCTTCTTTCTACCCACTCCTGTCCGCCCACCATATACGTTTATTTCTATAAGTTACTTGTACCGTTGTTACTACAGAAGTAGGGATTCCTTTAGGATTAGTCGTGTCGGGTTAGTCTCTTAGGGAAAGTTCTAGCATTTGAGCCGTAGAATCAATCCTTTTTGTTAGATCCATACTGAGAGGGACACCCTGTATTTTGTTATACTGCAAGACGTAACCCTTCTTCGGCAGTCAGATAATGATAATGCATGCTGTGTCATAATTTCATGAATCATGAGTTCATGACGCTTGCGGTCATCGGGCGGGTACCGCGTATTTCTTCCTCGCTTGTGTTACATTACATACAATAGGTACCGATTCTATGCAATCACATGTTACCTAATGAATAAATATCAAAATGTATCCTGTTACAACTGAATGAACTGGCTGGCCCACTGGACTTTTGAATAAGAATTAAGTTTCCAGTGGCTGTATGGGGTATGGGAAGGATAGTGCGCGCGGAATTCGCTTCAAGCAGAGCGGTTTTCCCCTGGAATAAGGGCAAAAGAAGGAAAGGAAGGAACTAATATCTAGGAAAACCTAGAGAAAGAGGAAAGGAGGAGTATTAAATGAACACTCCTTGTTATCTCAAATAAACAGTGCTGCCGTACGGGCTTGCGTTTCTTGTCGTCTACGCTATATCAATGTCTCTCAGAGCATAGTATGTCCGTGTGCAGCCAGAATATAATAAAATGGCCCTTATTACCTCAAATCAACAGTGCGTCGTGAAAGATGTACGCTCGCGCTTTACGAGAGCGTGCGAGGGAGACTACTACTTAGCTTACTGGTAAATCCGCCACTGGTCCTTTGAGGCTGCTGTACAGCCAGTAGATAGTATAATAACCCTTATTACCTCAAATAAACAGTGCTGCCGTACGGACTGGTATCATGCTTGCGGTCCGCCGGGCGGCGCATGGGCCCGACAGACGACGACGTGCGCCCGCGTTGCACCGGCGCGCGAGACGGCGACGTCCCGCCACCGAGCCCGTACTGTGGCGACTCCTCCGGCTAGAGGGAAACAAAACACTGTTTAATCTTGTCTTGTCAAGCGCGCCGTGATAAAATCTTATCGATGATTTTAGACAAACGTATGGGCTTATCGCGTAAAATCGATAAAAATATGTGATATAGACTTATCGCGGCGCGCATGCTAGGCCTACTGATCAGTTAGCATACAACTTGGTCAAGTTAGCTGCGTACCTAGTTGCTGTGACGTCACATCGATGCTCGCGGGTGTGCGAGTGAGTGCGAGCGAGTCGCATTCGCAGGTGCGCAGTTAACTTGACCGGGTTGTAATGGCGCAGTTCTATACGCGAATTTGATCGAACACGCGCACGTTAAACGAACTCAACTGCGTGTTTACACTATCTGATTCGATCAAGTTCGCGCATCACTATACTTTTTTCTACATTTTGGCGCAGTTAAACTTAACTGCACCAAAATGTAGTAAACAAAAGTCTTTACCAATCTAATTGCAAACACCTTCATCCATAATCCAATTTAACACCATTTTAATTAAAACAGTTTTGCCTCTTTTCATTGTAAAATAAACAAAAAGTATAAAGTATGCAGTGTTAGGGAAGTTAGGATCCACAACCAAATCGATGTTTAACAGTAACATTAATTAGTGGAATTTGTATGTTTCTCAGATTTCTGTGCTTAAACCTGAGAATTCCACTCATTACATTACATTGCATGGCTTGCATGCAATGTAATCAAGTGTTAGTCATTGTTACCCTAGTTTTCTAGAAATAAATATGAGATAGTAACATGATTTGAATTATACAGTTACAAATCTGCATTAGAATTTTTCCAATAGGATTTTACTCATGAACATACTCCTCTCTCCTAATTGCTACAGGGTCCATAATGTTCTAATTTTAAGTACATAATAGATGCAATAAAATATTAAGTATTGAAAAATAAGATAGGTAGCAAAACATTTACTACATTAACTCGAATATTTTTGTTTATTAACAATGCATTGGTAATAAATTAATGGTGTTGTAAAAACATAAAACGATAACCTTGACTGAATGAAACTCAATTAAAACTATGGTAACCAGTAACCACAACCTTGCCTGCCTTGATCAAATTGCCATAAATTTTTTAATTAATCATCATACCATATCAACACCATTTTCATAGCTCTTAACAAAGAAATCTACAGGAAAGTTAAGGAGGCATTAAGAGCACAGAGCAAAGCAGAGCTGGTTTTTTGTACATTTGTAATTAAGCACTACTAGAAACATAAATAAAATTTATTAAAATACAACCAGCTTCTACTTCACTCTGCTCTCTATAATGTAATCATATCATACCCTAACTACCAGTTTTCTAGCATTCAGCCTATTTATATTTAGCATACACACTACTGGAATTGTAGAAAATAATATGATTACCTAATTCTAGGACATTCACAAAACGGTCAATATTTTCAAAACAATAGGCACAGGCAGGACCTCTTGGTGCACTGTTAAAATGTCTATCTAGCTGTAAATTAATCTGGATGCAAGACCACATGCTTTTTGAGGCCTTTGAACAATAAACTACAAGTAACTTCCATAATTGGCCATCAATTCAAAACATTTTAATAATTTCATTAGTTAAAAAAAAAGACTGTTAACAAGTACAGTTTTATGGTAAGTGATTGTTAAAAGTAGTTAATTGTTCAAGGGCACTCCTTAATATGAAAGTTTACAGTCTTATTGAATAAAACCATGAATAAAGCAACATTTATGTGACCTATCTAAAAGTAATGTTGATTGTACAGATGATGCTCATCAAAAAATGTTAACACATGTTGTAATGTAAATATTTTAACAGTTTCTAAGCCATGGTCCAGTTCATTTATGAATGAACCAAAACGTGTATTATGACAGACATTATAATTAATTTAGCATAATTTAGAATATTTTGAATGTGTTAACACAGTTACTAATGTCATGTACAGATATTATAGGTCAACTTTAATTTTGTGACCAAACTTAAGCTAAATTGTTATCTGCAAAAAATATACAAAAATCCATTATAAAAGAAATTCTAAGCTGCCTGTCACATAAAGTTGTTATAAATGGTCTAATATTAACTTTTAGTGTTAGTGGTATTCAATAAACATTTCATACACAATGAGTACTGTCAACCTAACCAAAGTTTCAAGGTGTTAAACAAAACAATGGGTAATTTGAATACAACAAAATATTCATAAAACACTTTAGCCTATAACTTGGATGAATTTACAGCCATCTACAACTGCACCACTACCATAAAATAAAAAAAATAGCAATTCTACTGTCATAATCAAAATACGGGGTTTCCAATAAGAAGGAACCTTGGTATCATTTGGCTCTGCATTCGTGGCTTGTGGTGCAGCCACATTTGGCAGGGAACCACTGCGGAAAGTGCCCAAGCCCTGTTGTGCCGGCCGCAATGTCGATTCAACATTCGCAATGGGCTCAGGTGGGGCTTTCATTCTTGCACGCCGAGTACTAGAATTAACCTGCAATAGTGCTCTCACAATTTCAACCCATAGTAAGATTGTAGGAATACTTGTTACTTTCATTACACTTTACAAAAGTACTATTTGTTGACAAAAACAATTGTACTGGTATTGTATCCAGTTATTTATAATATTGAACAATATAATTTGACTGAAATCAATGTTAGCAGCGTGACAACGAATGCATGACCTATGAATGAACACAGATAAGATTGTTTACATCTTTATGTACAAATGGGCTTATAGGACTACCCATGTCGAATTTGCTATTGTTTTCAGCAGTGTAAAGACATCTCAAGAGTATTACGATTAATGTAACTATTAATACGACGCTATTATGATGCTCATGGTTGTAATGTATGCTAAAACCAATTCAACAATGACTTCTACAACAAAGTATACGAAAACGATTGTCCTCATAACAGTGCGTTGTTTGTATTTAGACAGGATTAACTATTGAGTTTATCAATAAGGCGCAATAGGCATATTGTAACGATTATTGTTTACGTCGGCTCGCACATTTGACGGCCAGGAAGCGATTGCCTGAGTAAATAGGCGACATACCTTATTGGTTGCGACGGAAACTTCGCGCATAATTTTCTCAAAAGCGGCCGTTTCCTCAGCCTGCTTTTGGTTGTGGAGAGCGATTTTTTCACTAAATTTCCTTGGATTCGCCATGTTGGCCAGTAAACATTTATTTTTCTCGTTTTACATCACAATTTTCAGCGCTCAACCTATCAACCAAAACGCGCTTTCTGTCAGACAGGCGGGCACTTCATTGCCAGTAAAAAATATATTATTTTTTCTAAAACAAGATATAAAATACCGGTATTTAGCAGATAATGATTTTTGTGAGTTTTGAGTTTTTGGCATAATTGGGTAAAGCTAAAACAACAAAACAAAATTGCCTATATACAAGAAAGTTTAAACAACAGTGACTTGTGTGCCCGGTGTTCGTTCAACTTGGCACTTGTATGTATTATGTGCCTTAATAAAACACAGCGTTCTGTTGAGAGAGCTGTCTATGATCTTTGCCTTATTTTAGTCTATGGTATAAGAAAACTTACCAATTGTCTCTGCTTTATCATCTAGTTTACCTTCTTCATACACCAGCTGGCACCACTTTCTATGGAAATTGGTGATCTGTCAACTTGACATTTCATAGCGTTTGTGATTTTTGCCGCCTACACAGCAAAAATTTTTATCTTCTTGTTTTAAGTATAAAATAAGAATAAAACACAGTTAAAATGTGCAAATAGGAAATATAAGTGATGCAGAGTGTAAGGGTAAAGAGTGGTGACGGTGAAAGGTTGACTTCTGTCGGCCCGGATGAAGGAAAAGCTCGAAATCCGAGTCGTCTTTTTCAGATTCATCCTCATCATCCTCGGAAATGGAAATGTTTGCTTCACCACCTCCAAATAGGCGACGGAGGCCATGTAAGTGTTAACCCCACTCGTAAGACACTCGGTCGAAACTTTGACGACTCAGATGAATGTTATTTCCAACTTTGTTGCGCACCACTTACCTTCTACATCAAGCCTACTAGATGGTAATAGCTTGCAAAGTAGTATTCAGTTCCTCTAAAGAACGATTTCAGTTACTTCGTTATCGTAAAGTGAAGTTAAGATCAATCATAAGGAAGATAGAATATTACTTTTCCTTTTCCTGCTGACTGAGCGAATTATTAATGAGATAAATTGCAGCATTTTGGCTACCTTATAGCGGGTTAAAGGCAGCTAGTTGAACATTCTGTTTGAATGATGCAGGGCCTACCCACTAAAAACTTCCACCAGTCTCCAGCTTGCTGTGTTTGTAGGAGGCTAACGGTATAGCTGGGCCTTTCCCGAATGCCACCCTACAAGAAAACACAGTTGTCTGCAATGCAGACCCGTCAGTTTTGACCACTTCTACTCGTGGCGGATGTGATGTTCCGCCATAAACCCACGGAGACTTCTATGTACATCTTTTATACACAGTATATATGTTACGGCTAAAGATAGGTGTGGACATAAACTTAAGATTAGCCGGCTAAACTTAAGTTTATCTTCGACGAGGTGTTAATGTTAGTTTCTTCTATCTTTATCCGGCTAAACTTAAGTGTAACCGCAGGCCCTTGGCTAAAAATGTAGAAGGAAATGGCAAAGGAAACAATGTAATAATGTTTACTATTTTGACATGAAAACTTTATTAAAAAATAATCACTTTCATAACACATACTTTTATGTACCTATGTAGGTATTCAAAATTACAATTATTACAATAACAAAATATTAATTACTTAAAACAATATCTTCCTAATCATTTAAATAAAATAATAAGGTAAACCATTTGGTCATTACATAATCTTCTGTAGGTATTTAAAATTACAAAATAAAACAAAATAAAACTGCGCACGCGTTGTCTCCCCACCGTTCCCTCAAGCCCTCCGCCGGCCTGGCGCGCCCATCGAATACAGTTTTAGCCGTTTCGTTTTGGCTAATGTGCACATTAGCCGGCTAAAGATGGAATACCACAATGCAAACTAACATGTTATCGAACATTAGCTGCTTCACGAAGATAAACTTAAGTTTAGCCGGCTAATCTTAAGTTTATGTTCACAACTATCTTTAGCCGTAACATATACACAAGGTAAATATGTACACTGTACAAGGAAAAGATATATTTACAACACTATGTACAAGAATATGTACAAACATTGGCATTGCAGACAGGTGTAAATGGCCTGCCTGCAAATGTCCAACTACCAACTATCAAGGTCGACGGGCAAAAGCCCGCCGCCTTCGGCCCATCCTTCTACGGCGAGCTGGGTCTGCGAGGGGATCCTCTTCCCTCTCCCGCTCAGCCGTTTCCTTCTCATTCATGACGGCCTCACAATAGACCTTAAATGCGTCATATCCGGTGTCACTACCGACTATGGCCTTGACCACTGCCGGTAGCGATAAGTCATATCCAATGGCCGCACGGAGCGTGGCTCGGTGCGGCTCCCACGCAGTGCATACCTCTAGAGTATGCTCTGCTGTGTCCTCAATTCCGGTATCACAATGGTGGCAGGCGGCGGTCCTCTCACGACCGATTCTGTGCAGGTATCTCCCGAAACAACCATGTCCGGTCAACACCTGCACCATCCGGTACGTAAGTGGGCCACCGCGCCGCTCCAACCACTCCTTTAAGCAGGGCTGCAGTGCCTCGACCGTCCGGTGGCCCGCACTGGGCTCCATCAGACAGGCCGACCACTCTTCCACAATCTCGTTGCGGGCCTCCTCCCTCCAGTGCTCTATTTCCCGGGGCGCTGGTGGGTTACCACTGCGTCTTGCGGCAGCGGTTTGCCGGTAGACCTCCGCCAACACCCGGGCCTCGAGCTCCCATGGAGGGGTACCCGCAAGCGCACAGGCCGCTTCCCGAGACACGGTGCAGTATGCGCGCACCATTCTCACTGCCATGACCCGTTGGGGCCTTCTCAGTGCCGTCAAATTGTCCCGTCCGTTGAGGGAGTTAACCCATATGGGGGCGCCGTACAGAGCCATGGATCTGATGACCCCAGCGAATAGACGGCGGCACCCCATGTGTGGGCCTCCTAGGTTTGGCATGATGCGGCACAATGCCGCTGCCGTCTTCATCAACTTGGGGGCGAGATACCGAAAGTGGGCTTTGAAATTCCACCGGCTGTCGAGGACCAATCCTAGGTACTTCATCGTCGACCCGACGCCGATGGAGACGCCACCCACCACGATTTCCGCCCCCGCTGGTGGTGATCTTCTGGGCCCGTGGAAACAGATCGCCTCTGATTTATTCAGGGCGACCTTTAGCCCTAACCGTCTTATGCGATCTACCACTTGTGCCACTCCAGCTGTTGCGAGTATAGCTGCGTCCCTATACGTCCGTCCTTTGGCTGTAACCAGGGTGTCGTCAGCGTAACAAACTACCCCGATGCCATGTAGGGCCGAGCCTCGGATTGCCCAGTCATACCCGATATTCCACAGGAGTGGACCTAAGACCGACCCCTGTGGAACACCGCGCGACACAGGCCACCTGCCCCAACCATCCGCGGACGGAAAGATTACGTCACGGCATCGCAGGTAGTCCAGCACAATTCTTTGCAAGTATACAGGGAAACCATGATACTTCAAAGCCTCTTCAATGCACCCGTGAGGGAGGGTGTTAAAAGCGTTGGCGATATCTAGGGACACCGCCACTACGCAGCCCCCACGGGCAACCTCATCCTCGGCAAGGGTCTTCACCTGCTGGATGGCATCAATAGTGGACCTGCCCCGCCGGAAGCCGTATTGGTTATCTGCCAAGTTTGGTCCCGCCTCCTCAAGGTGACGATTGAGGCGGGTGGCGATGACGCGTTCCAACAACTTGGCAGCCTCGTCCAGTAGAACAATTGGCCTGTATGCCGACGGGGAGTCCACTGGCCGACCTTCTTTCCTCAGCAGTACGAGTTTCCCCGTTTTCCAATTCCGAGGGAAGTGGCCTCGTCTTAAGCAGGTTGTGAGGAGTTCCCTAAATCGGGGCTCCAACCCGTTTTTCAGGGCAAGGACCCAAGCCTTTCCTGGTATTCCGTCCGGTCCAGGGGCAGTGTTTTTCGCCTGAAGGCGAAGTATGGCTGCCCCTAATTCCCCCTCCGTGACCTCAGGTGCCTCATCCTCACTGACTCCTTCCGAGCTGAAGCACACTGGGGGAACCCAGTCTTCTCTTGCTGGGAACAAGGCCTCAACCACATTACTCAGTAGACCAGGATCCATGGTGGTGGTAAGCGGGGGAGTCCACGGGCGCAGCTTGCTCATAACAAGCCGATATGGTCTCCCCCACGGATCCTGGTTTAGGGTGGATGGGCCTGAAGGTCGTGGATCTCCTCCGTTACCGTGCGGGTGGCCAGGGTGTTAGTAGCCGCCCTAATCATTACTACTGCCTCTTTTAGAGCAGCTTGCATCGGACCTTGGAGACGGCCCGACTTCTTCTCCACCTTTTGTACGAGATCGATCCCGGTCTGCACACGTTTCAGCAGGCCGTCTATCGTCTCATTTTCCTCAATCGCCTGTTTAGTGGCAATCCTGACTTCCGCGCTGGTTCTGGTTGACCGCGCCTGAGCCGTCAGGTCCACGATCTCCTTCTCGGCTGCAAGCCGAAGCTCCTCCCGTTCTAGTTCGGACTTGGCCTTTCTGAACGCCGCTTGTGCTTTGGCTTTGCCAACATACTCGCCTGTACTTGGCGGCCGGCCCCGGCCTCGAGACGCTTTCCCCGCCGACACTTTTCGGTCTGGGGCGCTCTCATCTTTCTCGGAATCCGAAGCGGCAGTATTCCTCTCCCAACTTCGTTTCCGGCTCCAGAACTTCTTCCGGGCACACTCGCTTCCCGAGCCAGATCCCACCGAGTGCATGGACACCGCTGATGCTGAGTCCGACTCGATGTCGATGCGTTCCAACGAGACACGTGCCACGCGGAGCTGCATGATGTTTTGCAGCTTGTCGCTGCTAGGCTTCGCACCATCTTCCTTCATATCTACACTATGTACAGTTCCTTCTTTTACACTATTTACAACAATGCCTGCATTTCCAGGCGCAGTGTTTTCCTCTCCCACACATCTATTTACACTATATGTACACTCCTCCTTCTCGCACGGCTGAAGCCGAGAAACAGTGGGTGCCCCCCCCAGATACGTAGGGCAGCCCGCCGCCGAAGCGGCGGGGCGGGATTCCCCGGAAGTTCCGGGACCCGCCTGGGGAATAATTTTTTTGCCAGCACTGTCCATTATGTGATCTGCTT